AGAAATAAACTGATTGAATGGAATATGCATGTAACCGGCCCTCCCAGAGCTGCAATTAATTAGTGGTAGGTGTGTACCGGTAAATGCCCTGATCATCTGTTTGTTGATCCATATAATTGGCAGAAATAAAGGCCCAAAATCCAATTCTGTTTAGGGCTCCATGGAGGCGTGGGCCCTACAAAGAGATTAACTGTTACAAAAGTGGCAAGGCTGCTAGAAGTGTTTTAATTGAATGCACTTAGTTGAATAGAAGTAAAATCTGATTTTGCAAATACATTAGGCTTAAACCAGGTGAAGAAGAAAGAAAAGGGAAAAGGAAGAGGCTGGACATAATTCATGATAGATCCATTAATTATGGACAAGATGAAAACACAGATCATGTTTCACTAATCTGAAAGCAATATAGACTCACAATAATTTAAAATTAAACTTAGTTTCGATCCTTTCGAATCGCTACAGAGGAATTCAGAATCTGACTTGTGGAGATCGCATGTTCATGGCTCCACACCAATAGGGGGCGATATTGGTTATTTCTTTGTTTGCAAACCGCCACTAAACGCTGTAAAGGAGAAAAGCTTTTTGTGTCGCTGTGCATTTTGGGAACGACACAGTGACTTCAAGATGGCGGCGAGCAGAAGGCTGGCCAAGGTAAATGTTTCAGTTTGAATTCTACGGCGTTTTCTTTTTAATGTTTAAAGACTTTATGAGGGCCGAGCTTCGCGGTCACATTGTCCCCATTAACCAGGAGCCTAACTGCACCGTGTATCGGTTCAGATTCTAGCTTTCTAATTCTATAAATCTTCTGTTGACGAGAGGTCATTACTGGTCTGGAATCAACGCTCTAGTATTGTGCGGCTAGGCCACAGAATCCTTCGTTAGCTCTCCTCTAATACCAAAGCCAAGGAAGCCACGTTTGGTTAGGAAATCAGAGTTTTAGCGGGGGTTTGATACAGGATGTGGGGGAGGCGGTGGGATTTAAGGTGTTTTCTTCAAACGTTTTCGGTTTCTGTGCGTGACTGGTTCGCTGGTTTAGTGAGGCCAGCCGGTAATAATGCACCTCTCTGGTTATGTGGACCAGTTTTAGTCGGTAAGCTGTTACCTGTGGTGTCTTCCTAGTGGGGTTAACGTCTTGGAAACGTCGAGTTTGTGTTTTATTTTCAACTGTTCGTGTTTTTAATCGAGTTTCGATTTCAGCGCTCCTGCTGTTGAAACGATAATTGGGTCTGCGCGCCCGCGCGCGGACTGCGCGTGAGCGCGCTCAGAGCTGCACCTTTAACAGCCTCACATGAACGCAGTTTATCTGCTTCAGCCATAAACCTTTTGTTCATAAACTTCCGCCTGGGTGGCAGAGATGGAAGTTTTCCTGTAACTCTGATCCAAGCCTGAAGACAAGATTAAAGCAGCTCAGACACAAAACAGCTGGAGTTTAGTAGTAAATTGATATAATAGTGATGAAATAAAACAAACAAGTTCCCTCAGTTCAGACACAAGGAAAAATAGTCTCATGTTTTCTTTATAAATTAAAGTCTTTCTTTTGAAGACAGAATGTTCTCTCTTTTTACAAATAAAAGGCAATAAAAAAAAAAACATACTTATTAGTATGCTTTCATTAAGGCTGCAACTGATTATTTTGCTATAAAAAATCTCTTGAATACTTTTCTGATCAGTGTCTGTTAGAAAGGGGTTTCCTAATAGCTTATATATAATAGAAATAGGATACATTTAAATATTTACTTTACAGGGTGACATAATTCCTGCACTGAGTCAGCAGATTTCGTCATTTATCCTGTATACTGTTGATGCATTTTGGATTACTAAATGATTATTTCTATCATTGATTAATCATTATCAATGACTATTACATTATTTGTTTCAGTCTTTTTTGTGTGTTTTTACAGCAATAGTGACTCAGTTTAATGGAACGTAGGCTGACAGGAAAGGGGGTATGAGAGAAAGGGGGGGAAATGCAGGTCGGATTCAAACCCGGGTCGCCCAGCGTCCAGGTCTAAGGCCTCCATACATGGGTTGTGTGCGCTAACCACTGCGCCACCGAAAAACACCCGTTTCAGTCACTATTACATGTTTGAAAATAAACTCAAAGTACAATATTAGATATTTTTATTTTAGCTTTCATAAAAGCAAATATTTATAAAACTTTTGGAGACAAATGGTGTAGCCGATAAGGGTTCTAGTCTGATCCTTATCTGTGAGAAGAGGAACAGAGAATGAGTTCCTGTTCATCTGAAATTCAAAGCTAGAGAGATTAGCGTCTATTATGACAGAGAACTGAGAGCTAAAGGTACAAGATAAGCTGTGATTAACTCTGCAGCTTTATAACTGTCTGCCGGGTTTCAATAACTGATTGACTGAAGTGATTTTCTCACTCCACCAATGATTCGGTTCTTTTATTTTCTAAAAAGTAATGCTGCTAAATTGCAGGAAAAGCAGCACCTGTTCAGTTTGACAAGGGGATTTTCATAGGGTTGCAGCGGTTTGGAAACTTAGTTCATATTTCTAAGGTATATGTCTTCATTTTTAACGAGGAGATGTCACATTCTCCTCAGATTCTTCTACATGTGTGAGTTCAGACTGATTTTAAATTAAGATTTAGGCCAGAAGTGGCGGACATCTGAGAGGCCAGATGTTTTCCTCTGTTATGATTGTGTTTTTACTGGGCATCAAATTAATTAATTAATTTAAAAAATGTTCAACTAATTAAGTAAACCTAAAAAAATTTAAATGACGTGCAGGAAGAACAACCTATTGAGCAACAATTAATGATATTTTGGATTGAAGATGAAAACCCTTCTGTGTCTGTAGATATTTAACCCCAAACTTTTCTTTTAATGAAAAAAGTGCAGTAATTTAATATATTCTTTTAGTTCAACACATATTTATTAAGGCGTGTGAATTATTTACCAAATGGATTGTTTTAGATTCATATATCAGGGCTGGACGATATGGCCAATAGGGGGAGTGTTGGGTTTTGCGATACTGTATTATCAGAATATTGCAATATTCTTCCCATCATATATCAAAATTGAATGTAAAGATAAAAGGCAAATGCTGTATATGTTCATCAGAAGATCAGAGCGCAAATTGAGTAAAAAATATTTGCTTTAAAACATCCTATATACTATTTAAGTGCTCTTGCAAGTTATTATTAAGCAAAGGAAAATGCACTTTCAGCCATCATAGAATAAAGTGCAACAAGTTAAGTTTCGTTTTTACTGAAACCACTATGTAGATGTCGTAAAGGAGTTATTACAGCATAATGTCACCATTGTAGCCATTGTAATCCAGACCATTAAGGATAAAGATTTTTTCAATTCCGGTAAAAACAGACTGCTGGGAACCCACATTATTAAACAACTCCCCCATTATATTTGAATATTAAAAGATTAATAATCTCTTCTTCCAAGATTTTTAATCTGTGTATATACAGAAGGGACTAAGAGCTTTAGTTTGTGGAGTTTTTTTTTTATTTCATATTAAGGGGGGGGACATTTAGCTGCTTGTGTCCTCCATTGTCCACGAGTCTCTCGTAGTTGTTCTGCGTTTGTTTTTGTTTATTTTTTAAAGCTCAGAGAAGTTCACTTTCACTTTGGTTTCTGTTCTCCTGACCTCCTGTCATGGGTAAAGTACGTAGTTTATTGAAATGTCTTATTGATCGGGAATGTTAAAGTCTGTTCTGCCTGCTATATTCATGCTTTGTGTTCCCAAATGGTGCGAACTTGGCAGGTTTATCTTGTTATACAGAGATTTTACTTGGTGTTTTAGCTCAAGCTGATGGGTTTTACTTTTCTTTTCTTGGTCACTGTCTAAGTCCTTTCCACCACATTGCTGCGTCGGTTCGATTAAAATAAACCGGGGTCTACCTCTGTCAGAGCTATGCAAACACAAAATCGTCCTCTGATCAACTATGTTTGTTCTGCTTCATCTCTTCATTCTGTCCTGCGATAAGACGTTTCTTTTGAAGTTGTGAGATGCGCTCTTGGATGTTGTTGTGACTGGATTTGATAAAACTTTTAAGCCTCTTGTTATAAATATTTTGATCGAGATTTAGTTAAATGGCCTTAGTTTTTAGGGATTTGTAAGAATTATGCTATAATTTGTAGTTACCGAATTGTCGTTACTATATTTTAATTGGACAAACCGGATCTTCTCAAGGTTCTTTTTGCTGTTTGGTGCGATTGCAATGGCAGATGTTGACCTGACCGGAGCAAAAATAGCCCAGCTCTGTATTTTGACGGTGACGTACGGAGGAGTAGCGGTGGATGTGGAACAGTTCTCATTAATAACATGACAGACAAGCACTCCGCACAACGTACGTGAGTGGGGCGAAGCGCCGACGGAGTATGTGGAATCTGGGGGTAATACTATCCAATTTTCCATCAGATGAGATGCTAAACAATGCCCTCTGTGTTATGGCCTTAAAAGGACTGGAGAGAGTACCGTCCCCTGTGGTGCTCCTGATTACTTGATTAGACAGCTGACCCTTCAGTCTAACGAACCGTGGTCCATTTTGTCAGGTATTCTTTGATCCAGGCGGTTGTTGATGCCTCCACCTGAGTCTTCTGGAGATTCTCACAAAGTAAAATAGGCTGAATTATGTGAAATGCTCAAAAAAGGAAGATTGTCCCAGTGCTGTCTGCCTTTTCTGAATGTCTTTGTGGAAGTATTTGTATGATGGCATTATCAACTCCATGGTGATAAGCAAACTGCATGGGGTCCTGATAGCTAATTGTTTGCTTGCTGAGGTGAATCACGACCTTCCTGATGGGAAATGGGTCTAAAATCACTGAGGTCTGATGGCTGAGTGGATTTGGTACTGGAACAAGGGAAGGAGGTCTTCTAGATTTATTTCTGAATTATTCAACAGGGTCAGGGGTAATGTAGCTGCCTTTCTATTAATTAATACGAAAATTGTAATTATGAAAATAAATTTACTAAATGTAAACATTACAGTTTCGAAAAAACTCAAGTTAATGGTTTAAAGACTTCTGATTTTTCAGTATACATCAGTCGACGATTACAGCATTCGTCACTAACTAATATTCCAGGTTTTTGTGCATTTCCATTTAAAATATATATATTTCTAAGATGTTATATAAGTTGACTTTCATAATCATGGCAAAATACTTGTAATAAGTTTATACAGACGTCTATTGTGGGTCCTCCTAGCTGTCTTTCTGAGGCTTTTATTTTGTTTACATTGCATCAACATTGCATATCAGGGATTAGTTAGACTAATGTCACAATAATTGGCATCAGCCTTTGGAAATCCTGAACTGCTAAATCTCTACTAGTTGATAGTGTTTGTATTAATCTTGATTTAAAAAGAAATTGTCTCAACTGAATAGTTTTGTAAATGGTATTTAAGTAGCAATAAATAATATTAACAAAAGTAATAGTCATCTTAAACAATCAGACCTATTTATCAACAATGTTTCAGATCAGTTTTTCTCTGCTCAAACCCAGACATACAGGGCAGAGCTACTGTATTTACTTCCTGGTTTCTGAGCCAATCATATGAGAGTTCCCAGGAATGCCAAAATTGAGCGCAGCCGTAGTATTTACATTGGTGAAAAGAGCAGCAGCCTGAAAACATGGAGGCATTCTTTATGCTGTTAGAAGCCTCAGCATCCTTCACAACTATTTCCACAACTGCCGTAGCTGAACCGTTTACACTCGTCCCTTTAAATTCAGCTGGCCTGCGTCAGTTGTCAATTGCCTCTGTATGAAGAAACTGAGCTGAATGTTTTTATGTGAGACTCATCTTCTGTTTGAAATCTGTTTTATTCACATTTACAGGCTTTACTTTCCAACTCTTTTCACTCGCATATTTTGTTTTGTCTGATCAACCTCAGCGATGAATAAAATTAAAATGTATTTTTATTATGTATTTTACTCTAATACATGAGTTTTCTGAACAAATGTAGCATGACGTAATGACTGTTGTATGTTTGGTTCAACAGGAACTTGAAGAGATTCGGAGATCTGGGATGAAGAACTTCAGAAACATTCAAGTTGAGGAATCAAACCTTTTGTCTTGGCAAGGGCTTATTGTTCCTGTAAGAAGTTTTCACAGTTTTTCTCCTCTGCTCGACCATTTTTCAGTCTCTAGTTTTAACTGTAAACTTTTCTTTCAGGACAACCCACCTTATGACAAAGGGGCATTCAGGATTGAAATAGTTTTTCCAACTGAGTACCCATTCAAGCCTCCAAAAATCACATTCAAGACAAAGATCTACCACCCCAACATCGATGAGAAGGGCCAGGTGTGCTTGCCTGTGATCAGCGCTGAGAACTGGAAGCCCGCCACCAAAACGGACCAAGGTGGGTCGTCCTGAGTGGAACCGTTAATATGAAACGAGATCCAGATCCAGCCATAATGCGCATTTTCACTTAATAAATATTTTTACTTTTTGGGTTAAAAAATAACTTTGACATATTAAAAAGAAAAAAAGTAATAAACCTCAGGAGGACCTGGTAACATCTGGAGTGTCACTTAAAGGCGAGTATAAGGTTACGAAAAATTCCCAGGTTTCAAAAAAGTTGCATATATGACTCTACATATATGCAACCCCCCCTTACATTTTCAAATTGCCCTCATTGCACTTAGTCAGATCTAAACTTCTTTCAAAATCGTACATTTTTGTTCATGCTCGGGGGCGGAGCCAGACCGGGAAAAAATTTATTGATACGGCTTCTGCAAGGTGGAGGGGCATGCAAGCTTGATTCACATCTGGCCCCAAACAAAACACTATGATCTAGGGGGTGGAACGGTTCACAAAATCCACGGTTCGGTTCGGTAAATGTTTATTGTTACACCGAAAAATAATTTTTTTAAATAAAAATTATAAAAAATTAATGAAAAAATAAAAATTAATGAAAAAAAAAAAATAATGAATTGTAATTATTTTTAATGATCTGTGGAAACCCTGGATCATTTCCGCATGTTTTGCTGCTTTGAATTTAATCATCTGGCGCATGCTCTCTACGATCTCAAAGGAACTCAGAGCGGAGCGGACAGGAGCCACAG